GAGCTTAAAATTTTCAGCCTTTAGTGAATTCTCTCAGCAGTTCTTGGATAGATTGACATACTAATGTCTATACGCACGTCACTGGCCACTTCATTAAGTATATCTTACAGTACAGAGTTTGCTCCATCCTTTTTCCTTCAGAACTGTCTGAACTCTTTGTGGCACAGATTCAGCAAGATGCTGGAAACATCCCTCTGAGATTTTGAGATGATATTGACACAGTGGTGTCACACAGTTGCTGTCAGCTGCTCATCAGTGATGCAAACCTTCTATTCCACCACATCCCAAAGGTGCACTATTAGATCTGTTGACTGAGGGGGTCACAATGAACTCACGATGAGCTTTGTCCTGAAAGATGGGTACACTGAGGTCATAAAGGGGTGGACATGGTCAGTAACAACACTCGGACAGGCTGTGGTGTTTAGGCGCTGCCCAGCTGGTACTAAGGGGCCCAACGTGTGTAAATAAAATATCCCCCACAGGATTTCACCTCTACTACCAGCCCTAACAGTTTAAGTAGTTTAAGTACCATATTTTCTGCACTATGAGGCGCACTGAAAATCCTTTAATTTTCTCAAAAATCGACAGTGCGCCTTATGTATTCTGGTTGTGATACAGACCTCAAACCGATTTTATTTGGTACACGACCCTCAAAAATCTGTCAAAAAACGCTTTAGTACGACTTTGGTAAGCTACGAAGCCGCACCGCTTTATGGATTGTCGGAGAATTACGGTTACTGTAGTCAAGAGCCTCGTGGAGTAATCTGGGTCCTAAACTCAGTTACTTCAGGTCCCAAAGTCAAACGAACACTGCAGCATCACTGAGAGTTAAAAACTGTCTAAATTCTTTCATCTTTAATAAAATGATCAGCGTTGCTGCTTTACCAGGTGTAACAATTAAGTTTAACATCCAGGCATCCATGAAAACAGAATTTATTAAATTTAACAGAGTTAGAAGTTAGCAGAAAGTTAGCTCGCTAGTTAGCTAAACATGATATAGCACGTTCTGACTGAGAGATTTGTTAAAAAATTCAAACGTACAGCTCTGCTGTCACTTCCAACATAAATGAAGACAGAAAACTAAACAGCAGTGACGTTTGTAGGGTTACTGAAGTTGGACTAGCTGGTATATAATGATGTGCTACGTGGTGGCTAGCGACACAGCTATGTTAGCATAACAAACACAGTGAAGCTGGAGGATGAACGCTAACTTTTTTCTACTCGTTAACGTGAGGGTTTCCAATGGTCAGGGACAAATGCAATCGCATGGCAGGCTGCTGTAAAAGGACCAAACTTCAGTCAGGAGAACAACTGAGATAATCCATCCACAATAGAAGGTTAGTCATTCATATACTGCAACAACATGGAAATAGAGCAGCTGTGAGAGAATTCAACATTAATGAATCAATGGTACGGAAGTGGAGGAAGCAAGAAGAATGAGTTGAGTAAAGTTTGACTTCTCTGACTGCTTTGTTTTGCTTAATGCGCCTTATAATCCGGTGCGCCTTATGGTCCGAAAAATACGATGCTTTCGTATTATTTACACCAAATTCTGGCCCCATCATCCAAGCTCCTGCTCTTAGCTGACCAGAGTGTAGTCCAGTGAGGTCTTCTGCTGTTGTGGCCCATCTGCTTCGAGGTTTGGCATCCTGTGCAGTCTGAGCTGCTCTTAAACACCACATTTAAACACCACAGCTCGTCAGAGTGCTGTTACTGACCATGTCCACCCATTTATGGCCTCAATGTACCAATATTTCAGGACAAAGCTCATTATGAGTTCATTGTGACCTCCACTCACCAGGTTGTACACCTTAGTTATAATGAGTACTACTTTGAGTTACTCTTGCCTTCATATTAGCCTGAAACAGTCCAGCACTTATCCTCTGATCTCTACCAGTGAACGGCCGCAAACTGGATATTTTCCCTTTTTCAGACCATTCTCTGTAAACACCAGTGATGGTTGTGTGGGAAAGTCCGAGCAGATCGGGAGTTTCTGGAATACTCAGATGAGCCCATTTGGCATCAACAACCATGTCACCTTCAACGTCTGTGGTGCTGTTTGGTTTTAACTTCTCCAGGCTGTCTTGACTGTGTCTACATGCCTCAATGTGCTGAATGGGACTGACTGGTTAAATAATTGCATTTAGCAAGTAGTTGATTAGGTATACTTGATGAAGCCTGGATCAAGCTGTTCAAATGTAATTAATGGAAGAGAAAAAGTTGTTTATAATTATTGTGCAGTAATTCTTCAAGTTACACCTTTTGTAATAGCAGCTTTGAAATATATTTGGCCCATTTTGATTTCCTCTTGGCTCAGTGTGTTTTGCCAGTTTTTTTTTCTAATAACCAGAACTAAAAAAAATCAAGAAAACATCAACGTTTCATGCAAAATACAAAACAGACACGAGGCTGAACAGATGTTCACCAATCAAGGATGATTCTGATCCCTGACTCATTGATTTGTGCATCACTAGGTGTATGTCTTCAGTTTCACCATTTTTACTGTAGTCTTGTCCATTCTCAGTAGCTCTCTTTGCTTTTTTTAAGCTGAGGTCACAAGCCAAGCAGTGTGACTGGCTGAGTATGTTAGTCAGTACGGTCTGATCTCTCTCTCTCTATATATATATATATATATATCAATATAATAAACCAAAATAGTAGGTTCACTTAGAAACAAGCAGTTTGGGTACCCAGACTCCAGCACACTGCGCTCATTCCTCTTCTAGCATTAATTAAAGTCTTAAGGGAGTAATCTCTCAACAGAGAATAGCTGATCCATCATCCCTCCATGGACCAATTCTCAGACCGCTGTCATCAATTCTTTTATGGTTGCTGGCAACTTTTCAGCATTAATGCCGTCTCCCCTGTTTGTGCACAGACTCTCTCTTTCTCTTTCCCATTTACTCTATATTTTCTCATGCTCTCCATTTCTTGTTCGTACTCCAGCGACCTCAGAGAAATGTGTGCGTAACCAACAGGCCGCTCGACCTGACGCATAAATAAGGGCGTTGTTGTCAATGCACGGCACATTTATGTGAAAGGTTGGACAAGAGGGGGGGACTCTGTGACAAGGGCAGGACCCTGTGGTGGTGGATGGGTTAAAAAAAAAAGAAAAAGAAAAAAGCAGAGGTATATTAAGAAGTGGGTCGACAGACGAGGATGCTTCGGAACCAAGGGTGCACAAATATTAATTTAGTCACAAATAAGCTAGCTAAATATTTATAGCAAAAACAAAATGGCCAGTTGAAAGCACAGATGGATTAAATCCATCTGTTTGGAATGATTTGTGTGCTGTTCTTTGGGGAAAAGATCATTTACTCAAAATACATTCAGCAGAAGACCATGTGAGCCTGTAGCACATAGTTTCTCATTAGAAATTTAAATAAACAGAGTAGGATTAACCTGCTATTTAGGGCCTAAGTCAGATTCAACTCTTTTTGGGGGGGCCTAACTTCTACCCCATGTCTGCATACTTGGGAAATGCTAGCAATCTGTGCAGAGTCATACCTGCATCATCATTAATACTAGTAAAAAATGTCCCCTGTGTTGTTGTTATGTGTGAGCAGCAACCTCAGTTACAGCACTTTCTATGATTTATAATGTGTGTAGCTAACAGCCTGACCTTGCATTTTCTAGTGTAGACCAAATAAAGGAAACCTTTTCACAACAGAGTAAAGCTGCTGCAGCTCAAATTAATAGCCTGTACCCTCAAAGTGTGTGTGTGTGAGAGTGTGTGTGTGTATGTGAGAGTGTGTGAGTCTTGTAATGTCTCTGGACTGTCACAAAGGGCTTGCTGAAACATCTTTCTGTAATATTATAAGGTTTTTACTCTACAATGTAAAGCAAGTATAAGCTATCTGAATAAAATTGAATTGAAACAGTGTTTAGAGGAATAATGGGATTAAAAAGAAGTTAAGATGAAAAGGATGGTTTTAAAGGATGGAAAACTTAAACCGTGACTAAAACTAGCGGGTAGCGGAGGAGGGGAAAAAAGAGGATGGAGAGTGGAGGTCACACACAGCTTGGTTGGACCAGATGCCACCAGGAGATATGAGTCGAAGTAACGACAGAGGGGCGTTTACAGGACTCGTGCATGGTGGGTGGGGGTGGAACGATGTCAAGCATAACCTGAAGGGGCATGATCGAGTAGGGGGGGGACACATGGTAAGGAAAGAGGAAGACACTAAGGACCAGAAGGGATATGGCCAAGGAACGTCAACTCGATACAGACGTCATTATTATCAAGATGTCAAGCACTCCACGTCTCGGGCACTAGATGTGCCCCGAGTGAGGAAAACTTGAAGAATTTCATTTTTAAACTATCGGACGTAAGAATTTAAACGTTTGTCTTTTTGTTTTGGGTTTTTGTGCTTGTAGATTTTACGTACGTTTACTTGCAGTGTAACATCTGCATAGGACTGATACTGTGCATAGTACAGTTAAAAGAGATGTAATATTTGGTGAAATTAATGTTCTAGTTTTGCAACAGTGGCTGTTATTTATCTTGTTGTCGTTGCTTGTTTAACAGTGTTTATGCATCATACTGTACCCGTACACATGTTGCATTTTTAGCAGGGTGCCTTCACTGTACATCAAGAAATTAATTGACAAATCTGCCGAAGGTCATTTGCATATTTTCAGTGTAGTAAAATTCAAATGACCCTTGATTTTTCTGGATCTACATTTGTGTAGTGTCGCCTCAGATTAGCCTAGTCCTCGTGCATACTTCTTACACTTGTTTGTCTTTTTGTTTTGTTTGTTTTGCTTCCAATTATTTGGCAAGAAGTTAACATGTGGAATGAAAAAGTGCCTTACAGCGTCTAATATGTCCAAAACTAGCATAGCGACCTAAAAAGTACATTAAAATATCTTCAGTTAGATCAGTGTTTGTGTTTTTTTGCCATTTTTGGTTTTAAATGGGGAAAAAGCAACACAGCAACATTTTTACTTCTAGTTTTCCCATCTAACTCTTTTCTTCTCTTTACCTTCTCTGTCCTCAGGAGGACTTTCGGAATAAGGTTCAAGATTACATCAAGCATTACGCCAGATGATAAAAGCATTGGTGACCCGCTGCAGCCTGCACCAACTAACCAAACTGCTCTACCTTGCCTCTGCTTCTCTTGGCCAACTCCCCTCCCACATGTGTGAATCAGCAGCTGACTCTTTGACTCGTACCACTCCCCTCCCTCTCGACACCACAGCTCTGGCGACGCCCCGCCTCTTCTGTTCACCCAATTGCAATAAACTTCACATCGCAGGAATGAAATTTAAAAAAAAAAAAAAGTCACACGTTGAAGAGAGGACTTACATACACAAGAAAATAACGCTTTAGTTAATCGGCCGAGGGTTACAGTGACCACAGTGTCTGTCTGTTGTGGCAAGACACACGAATGACGCCACCCCGCTGACGAGCCCGTCGGACACGAGCCACGTGGCGATGGAATTGGTTGCGATGTTTAACTGAAGAAGACAACAAGTCACGCTTGGCTATTTTTAAATTTGATGACTCAAGAGGAAGATTATCTGTTACTGTCAGTTCTCTGTTCCAGTGCCTGCCATGTTTGTGTCACTAAAGTGAAAATGCATGTGAGTTCACACACACACACACACACACGCAGTCACAGCCTGCAGTAAAAGGTGAGCACATGGAAAAACACACATTGGTTGGAAGTTGGAAAGCCTGCAGCCCCCAGCCCCATTAGACAGCATGTGAATGACCACACTGACCCATTTTAATGTCATTCTCTCTGCATGTGTACACGCACGCACGCACGCACGCACGCAGACACACACACACAAACACATGCACGCAGACACAGCTGTGTGTTTTCAGTTCCAGTGACATAAAATACTGCCACAAAAACAGCCAAATGCACTGTTCATTTTTCAGCTTCATCTCTTGTCTCTGCACCACTGCCCTCTTCACTTCTTTGTCTTTTTTACTGCATCTGTCTCTGTTACACACGCACGCACGCACACACACACAGCACAGGTGAGCGCACATGTGAAGTTCTGTGTTGCAGATTGGAGAGGTTAAAACGGTACAGTCAAAACTTCTGGCATGCTGGCTCTTCATGTAAGCGAAACAACGACTGGTTTTAAAGAAGTGATTACATAAGAGTCTGGTAACAGCACTAAGCAACAAAGTGCTAAACACGGTAAAGAATCTGTCAAAGAAAGAGAAGTTGGAGGAAACCTTAAACACGACTCCAAATGACCTCCTGGATGTACGTAGGAAACACTTAAAATGACTCAAGATCGTTCTTCGTCATCAACCACGTGCACTGCAGCTCCGAACTGTTCCAAAGATTATTGAGAGACGTGCAGCCACCTTTCAATGATCTTTAAAGTGAGCTGCGAAAAGAACAGGTGACTGTCAGGTGAATTCACAGCAAGCACTCCCTCCTGCCTGCTCCGGTAGCTGCAGAGTGTATCGTATCCCACCAGACAGTCCTGACATTCTCCAGAGTTCATGTGTGAACATGTCTCCAATGAAGATCAATAGGTGCAAAGAAAGCCTTACAACTTTTAAACTCAGTCATTTTTTTTACTTTATAGTCACTGTTCAGTGCTGAGCCAAACCAATATTGAGGTTTTTGACTGATCTGCACAAACCCCCTCGTTCTGCTCCCTTAGGGAGATTTCCGAGCTGACTGTATCTTTCTAAAAATGGCGCTATTTCAGTCTCTCCCCCTTTGTAAGCAGACTGTATGATTTCACTATCTGAATGTGTGTGGAGAAAACAATAGCAGAGGTTCATAAAGACCACTCTGTAAATGATATCTGCATACAGACATGCAGAGTCTGCTGTTATTGTTTGTAGCCAGAGTTCAACTGATCGGTGAGCAGGCTGTAGTTGCATGCAGGTGTAAGTCATAACTGGCCAAAAGAATATGAGAACTTGGCCCAAATATATCTCCACTGGGTGCATCAGAAGCCCAGAAGACTTGAACGCTGGTTCAAGCAGCTACTTTAAAAGGCAGGTTTCCAGATTGCATGAAAACAGATGGCAAGATGACATGCTAGCAGGATTACTAGCTAGCTAATGTAAGTGGCTTTAGATCTGTTAGAGACTGCAGGAAGGCGTCATTCTGGACATCTATGAAATCTATGAAAGTGCAGTACTTAACAAAGCCATTGGAACGCCTGTCATAAAAACAGGAATCACAAATATTTGAGAATTCTGTCAAAAATATGTTTTTTTTCTTTGTTTATGCAAAAACAAACCGATTTTACATTTTTATAGGTGAATTTGATCCGCAGCACTTCTCTGAGACATCACATTCAACAACTAAAACTAATTTTTCTATTCAGTAATGCAAGTTAACATGTAATTTGACATCTTAATAAAAATAATAATAATAATTGCTAATAATTGTGATTTACTTTTTCAGCGTTTTTGTGAAACAGGAAATTTAAAATGTCAGGGATCATAACAATAACTATATTTTACCATTTAAAAATCCAATTTTGATTAAGAGCTTGTGTGTACTGCAGGATTAAGCATTACAGAAACATAAACAATGATTTTGGTCATTACTAATACTTTTAATTTAGGGCAGCAGTGGGGTAAACCTTACCCTGGGGGTGGGGGGATGGGGGGGTCTAATAAATGTGTGGAGCTCTGCAGGCTCGGTCACAGTCAAACACTGGGGGAAAAGGGGGAGGTTAAAAAAACTGCACAGATTTGGTGGGAAACACTCTTGAGGCAGTTGACATGTTTGACACTGGATTAAATTGCTACCTCGAGTGCTAGTTAACTAGTTAAACTGTATTGGCGCCTCTCGGTTGACTAGAGCAGATTATGCTTTGTGGGATGGCCGCTAGGAATTCTGGACTAACTAGATAATGTCTCCATGAACCTCTGCTGCTGTGGGTTTTGGCTAGTGATTGTGTTTTTATGTGTGTGTGTGAGCGTGTGTCTTTTGCCCGGCCCTGGCTATTGCTGTGCCTCCGGTTTGAGTCTGTAAGCATCGCCTGTTTTCACCTGTTCAGCTTTGTTTTCACGTCTGCATGAGGAAAACGTCTGTGTGCGAGTGTTGCAGTCTACCGAGGATGTGGAAATGTAGAGGCAGAAGATTGAATTTTTGTGTAGGAAGTGTGCGTGTCAGATTAACAAAAATGACAGTTTGTGCTCCTGGAGTGTGTCTGTGTGTGTGTGTGGGCAGTTACAGTGTGACTTGTGGAGACGATGTGACTTGTTAGCATGCTCTGGTTTCCCCTTTCCCTTCTTTTTTAAAATCTGGATTCATCAGCTCAGTTCATTTTTATTTTCTTAGCAAACACAACAACACAAAGCACCCGACTCTGCCAAAATAAAAGACCCAGGAGTTTAAAAACAGAGTGACAGCAGTCCCAGATCTGGCTACACCACGCTTCATTAATTGGCAACAAATTGTCTCGGTAGTTTTTGCCTCAGCCCAACACTCAGTGCTTTTTCTTGGCCTTAATAATACTTTTGCTTGCTATTGGAGATCTTGTTATCGGTGTCCTTTAGTTTGGCAGTTTGTGTTGTTGGAGGTAATTTTGTTTTGTTTTCTCCTCTTCTTCGGATGTTTCTCTGGAAATGTCTTCGCTTCAGTTAAACTCCAGGGCCAGAGGAACGAGATTAACAATCTGTTCTTCTTCAGATCCTCGACATTTTCTTTCTCAGATTGTATATCCATTTTTTAAGATATATTAAAGAGTATATAAATGAAACTAACGTGTCTTGTTTCTTGTGTTGATCGAGCGTTTGGTGACGTGTGCTGTGTCTGTGTCACTTCACAAAGAATGATTATTGTAACTGTCTGCTACTGCGCTGCTGTCTCCAACCATTGACTGTGACACTAGTTAAGTGGCTGCTTGAGGCTGACCATTAACAAAGTAATTATATATGTACATAACTGCTTCTGTGTAGCGCCCATTCTGTGGTTGTAGTTCTGTTATAACCCAAACTGAGCATGTCTGGAAATAAAGGAAGCTCTAAGGTGAGCTAAAACCAGGCTGAGAGTAGAAATTATGAGACACGGGTATCACAAGTGATTCCCAATATGCAATTTTTTTAAAGCATTGAAAGGTACTTTAAATGACTTTAAATAAAAATGTGGAGTAAATGATTAAAAGGAGTAACTAAATTTTTTGAGTGTTTACAAAAAATATTAAATGTATTTGCTGCTTTTCTCCTTCTGTGCATTTGCTTCTCACACATTTGTGCATACGTGCACACGAAGTGTACATTCAGCACACAACCGTCAGCCTTTCAAAGCTTTGACTTGAATGGAAAAGGGACGCAGACAGTGCTGACGTCTGTCAGTCATCCCCACAGCCTGTCATTACGGCGGGTTTTGGAAGATGCGCAGTCGCACTGTTCCCGTGCCCTGCGGCTATGCAGCCTCGTGGATTTCCTGTGTGTGCAGTGACAGCTGACAGCCTCAACCAAATAATGAGAAGGCTGAGTGCTATAAATCATATTTCTCCAGTTCCCTGGGTATTCCTGGCCCCGCTCACCTACAGTGACTGTTCAGCCTGAATATAATCTAACCAATCGAGTCCTCTCCACCCACACTCAATTATCTTTAAGCAGATGTTTCCATATCCTTTAAAAGCAGGCTGTAAATAAATAAATACTAATGCAATAAAAACATAATGGGGAACTTGAAACCATGTGGACTCCACACCTGTCTGCTGCGTTAGGGAAGAAATTAATGGGCTCCAGTGATTGGTCGGTCTGATTCTTATTCAAAATACACTCACTGGACACTTTAACACTTTAACAGTGGTGGTAAAGTCCACAAGCAGCAGTTCTCTGGGAGAAAATGCCTTGTTGATGCCAGAGGTCAGAGGATGATGGTCAGCCTGCTTCAAGCTGATAGGAATGCAACAGTAACTCAAATAACTGCTCATTACCACCAAGGTGCAACAAACCTTCAACAGATGGGCAACAGCAGCAGAGGATCGCACCGGGTGCCGCTCCTGTCAGCTAAGAACAGGAAGCTGAGGCTACAATTTGTACAGGCTCACCAATTTTTGCTCCAACATTCGGATGGCAGGATCACAGTTAGGTCAGAACACCATAAAAGCACAGCTCCATCCTGTCTTACGTTGACAGTTCAGGCTGGTGGTATGGGGAAATGTTTCATTTGCACACTTTGGGGTCCTTAGTACCAACTGAGCATCACTGCTGATCATGTGCGCCTTTTATGACCACAGTGTGCCTGTCTTCTAATGGCTGATTGCAGGATAAAGCCACAAAGTGAACTCATATCAAACTGGTTTAATTAACATGATAGGTTCACTGTACCTAAAATGCAGTAAAGCATGTGCATCAAATCAAAAATAAAGCATTACTAAGTACTGTCTGACTAAAATATCCTATAATATAACTTAACTGTACTAATTATAATTCAGTTTCAATCATTATCTCTCCCACAGTGTATCTTTTGTCCTGTCTTCCTCCCTTAAACCCAGAGATTCCTGTTAAATGGGAGTTTTTCATTCCCACTTTCACCAAGTATTTGCTCATAGGGAGGTCGTCTGATTGCTGCGGTTTTCTGTATTATTATTATTATTATTATTATTATTATTGCAGGGTCTTTACTTGATGACATTACCTGATATTGTGATTAAGTTCTATATAAATAAAATTATGTTGAATTAAATTTAAATACCTAACGTTTTATGAGGAAGTGAGTCGTAAAAGAACAACAAATTGGTTGATCAGCGTATAGGAAAATATATATTAGTATAAATGTACACTATGTGTGAAATGAAATTCCAAATCAGAAATAATTTGTGCAGTTACTCTACTTTTAAAGATTAGAGATAACTTAAAGGATTAAACTGCATGCCTTCACTCCAGATCCAGATAATTTATAATTATCATC